TTTGCTCCCTCTGTTACGTGGATGTTAATTTTTCAGGCCAATATAATTTGAACAGCAGTTCATCAGTTTTCTAACCTTGCTTTATCTGTAATAATTTCTCTAGACTTTCGACTTTGTTTAAAGAAGGAAAACATTTTGGGTCAAATTTTTAAAGATATAAATGTGTTAAGAGTGACCCAAGTAAGTGTTTTTATATCTAAAATACTGAGTGATATTTATGAATTGATTTTCTTCAAGTTTTCATTTTTGGTGACATTGGCTAGAACAGTGGCTGCTTACACATGTGCAGTGAAACAGCCTGCAGGAGGGCCCTGATGACCTGAGCAAAACAACCCACCTACCAGAATATCCAGGTAACTGAATGAGTGAATATATGAATGAATAATGGAGACTGGAAAAAATCATTTCTAGCTGATCAGTTGACATAAGCCTGTTTGGTTTACACACTTAAAAAATTACTCTTGGCCGGGCATGGCGGCTCACAACCTGTAATCCCAGCACTTCGGGAGGCCAAGGCAGGAAAACCGCTTGAGCCCAGGAGTTCAAGACCGGCCTGGGCAACGTAGTGAGACACTGTCTCTAGTTCTTACATAAATACAAAAAATTACCCTCATGACTACAGGTCATATGTTACAGCCTTTACACGATTAAGAGCACAAGGTAAGGTTAGCAGGAGGGTCTAGATCATGAGACGTGTACCTATAAACTGTCTTAAGAGGGTCCAGGAAAGAAAAGACGGCTTGTTCAGTACGTGCAGACAATTAAATGCTTTTCTAATCAAAATCGTCTATAAATATTTAAAAGACTAGTTCTACTACTTAATCCTGAGGGATCCAGAACATTATCCGTCTGTTTCATCTTTTGGCCGATTTTCTAGCCATAACCGGAGTCCCCTAGTCCAACAGTGATTCACTGAAAAGGAGTCCCCTGCTCTTCCCAGGCTTTCCTACTTTTAAAAGAGCTGACTCCACCCTTCTCAGTGCCACAGCTCCCGCACCCTGCCAAATGCCCAGCACCAAGTGGGGGCCCAGTGGACAATCCTCTAGACTCCCTATGGCCCTGGCATGGTGCCCTGCACACAGTGGGAGCTACCATGGCAGAGTGGTAGTCACAGGAGGGAGCAGGATGGAATTTGTATTCATTGAGTGAATGACTGAAATCAGTTGTTTTTGCCAGTAATTAAGTTTGCCAGTTCTTCAACAGCATGGTACCTGAGTCCCAATTCTGCTATTTAGAACCTATTAGAATCAATTTGGGTGAGTCACCTACCTTTCCCGAGCCTCAGTTTCTTCATCTATCAAATGGGAATAGAAATACCAGCCTTGCATGCCCCATCAAATGATGCAGGAGACAGTGTGGGCGAAGCACTGGGTGGATGCTTGCTATGATTCCCGTCTTGAGCTCAGCGTCTCCCAGCGTCTGCCTCCAACACGCTCTGGAGTTCTTACAAGTGGAGCTGCTGGCCTGCCATGTGCTGTGCAACTAACGGTGCCACGTATTTGGGGTCAGGCATAATGATTTTACCTTGGCTTTCTTTTAAAAATTCTAGGCAATATCATCTGGGCCTAGAGGTTTAGTGACACCCTCAATCAGGTCTAAAAGCGCCTTTCGTGGTGGAGGCACTGCCATCCCTCTGAAGGTCATTGACTGCCTGACTCTGGCTGCCAAGCTAAGGCTGAGCCGTGTTAGGAGAATTAACCAGCACGGCAGGCAAAGTTATAGGACTGCCATTGGGGAAAGTAGCAAATAAGAAATGAGGCTGGGAACACAGAAGGTGGGAATCAACATGCCCGCGGCACGGGAGGAATCAGGCTCGGGAACTAGGATGATCAGCGTGCAGGAGGGAAGATCTCCGTTGTTCTAGCTGGGACTCAGAAGGGCTGGGAAGCTCTACAGCTGGAGGGGGACCAGGTGACCCCTCCATGTGGCTGCACTTGGGGGTGCATCCTTGCTTTCCCAGGACTGATGCTTCCCCTTGAGCCCCTCAGTATCTTCTGAGAAAGCTGACCACCCCCCTCTAAGGGGAGATCCCTCCACAACCCCCTTTCCACCTGGAAGCCCCTCTGGATGAGCTCCAGCACAGAGCTCTTGCTCCTCTTCGCCGGCCTCAGAGGCCCTGCTCCATCTGTCGCCTCACCTGGATTTGCGACCCCACCTCCTCTACTGTGTGTACCTGCCTAGACCTTTGGCCTCAAAAGCCCCCCTCCCCTGCTATTCCCTTAAGCTATTTTCCCTTTGAGTCCCCATGGTACTTTGCTTGTTTTTATGGGACTGATACCCTGTTTTGTGTTATAATGATTCGTATGTGTTTCGTCTTGCTTATTACCCTGCAAACCTCATGAGGACACAGACTGTCTGCCTTATTTATGTCACACCTGCAGTTCCCAGCATAATATCTTACACTAGTGGGGCCAGCAGATACTTGCTGTGTTAAATTTTATGATAATTCTGACTTCTGAGAACAAGTAATCACATTTCCCCACATTTTTTTTTCTCATTCCAAAATGTAGTCACGATAATGTGATCACAATTACACAGTGGTTTCTCTATAAACAAAACAGCTACTGGTTTCTGTTTTATCCTACTCTGACTCAAATACACTTTCCCACCTTCTTGGGTACGAAGACATTTTCTAAGGCAACAGCATTGGACCTCTCTGGAAAACATTATTCTGGGAGCTCCCAGTCACAACTGTGGACAGCTGAAGCCTTTTGGACGACTTGCTAGCCTCAGTCTGCAGCTTCCCCATTCAGCCTGATGTGTCCGGCACATTTTCACAACCCTGACAGACTGGTGGTCCCTGCCACTCTTCACTGCAGGATGCCGTGGGACTCAGTGGCTACTGCTACTGTGTGTGGCTGCCCCTCACCTGTACGCCTGCCTCCCTCTCCCGCCTTTCTTTGAGTTGTACCCATGAAGGTCCTCGCCTGTTGCCCAGCTTCTTGGTTCTATCCTTTCCTTCTGGGGGCTTTAGGGACTGCCGTGGAGGCAGGGACATGCTCTGGCTTTGCGTTCTGCTCTCAGGCCTGTCAGCTGTCTGACTGGTGGGGAGATGGCTCTCTCATCCTCCTCAGACATGCTATTCAATTCTCTCCTGGGCACAGACGTTGAGAGTCTGTGTCAACTCAGATCTCATACACCAGGAATGAGATTCCAATCTAGTTGATTGTCAGATTTTAAATTGCTTTTGCTTTTTTCCATTTGTGGCAAAGGGCTGGGCAAGGCTCCTGGACCCTTCTGATGACCAAGGCTACCCACCTGTGGGTGGCTGCTCCAGGCCGTCCTCTTTGCGAAGAGACCGCTGAGCCTCCATGAGGACTGAACCCACAGTATTCCTGGGTGGGGTGGGGCATGGGGAGAATGGACCATGGACTCGACTTGGGGCTGTCATCAAAAAGGGGACTGAGGCCAGTTCTGGACTAGACAGATGGGGAGTAAGGCAGTCCTGGGCTGTAAATGTATGCAGTGCTATGCCTGGACCTTTGACCCGTGTCCCCTCTGGTACTGGGCACAATGCTATGACCACAAGCACTCTACTACGCTTTTCTCTGAAATACAATGACAGGCTGTACCATTCAATGGGAAGAGGACACTTGAATGAGACATGTACTGACCCTCCCTGAAACAAACTAAAACCACAGGACTTCATTATAAAGAGGGAAGGAATGTCCCATGCAGGAATAGTTGTAATGAGAATGTTTTAATCAGTCTAGCTATACATTTTGTCATGATTTCAGATGTGAGAATGTATTATCGAATCAAAGGATTTGTGATTACTAATTAGTTACATTGTATCCAATCAGGAATTAATAATTCGAGCCTAATTGTGAATTAGGCTTCACATCCAGCTTCGGGATGTGTGCTGACTGGCAGCGCTGGGCTTGGGAGAGGCAGGCCTCCCTTCCTTGGCTCTCGGTACCAATGTGAAGGAGTCAACAGGGTGGGCTCATGAGATGACTCTGGGCTCTATAAGTCCGCAGGGACACTAGGGGTGCAGAGAGCCAGGGGGCCAACTGTTCTAAAGGGGTTGCTCAGAACCTGAGCTGAGCGGCTCAAACAAAAACCACATTTTGCTGAAGTCTGGCTGGGCAGTGCAGAGAAAGAGGCCCTGGCGCCAGGGTTCAGAGTTTTGTAAATATAATAAAGATTTCTTCCCTCTCCCCAGGAAGCACATAAAGAGTAAAATGAATGAGTATTACGTTGGGGATAAACAGTAATGCTCTCTGGGTGAAGTGCCAACTGGCAGTTTTGAAAGATTGGGTTAATCAGACACAGGGAAATTTCTGATTAATTGGACAATTACTTCGTATTCTGAGTGAGCCAAGGCAATGTTAGAGAAATATCCCGACCAACTGGGGATAAATTCACTAGCTTGAGGCAGAGATTTTTAAACTTATAGAGGATGAAATACACTGGCATTGTGTGCCCAATTTTTATGATCTCAAGTTCCCCAAATGTATAGGGCCTATGATAATAATAATTATTATTTATTTTTTTGAGATGGAGTCTTGCTCTGGCACCAGGCTGCCATGCAGTGGCACGATCTTGGCTCACTGCAACCTCTGCCTCCTGGGTTCAAGCAGTTCTCCTGCCTCAGCCTCCCAAGTAGCTGGGACTACAGGCACTGGCCACCATGCCCAGCGAATTTTTTTGTATTTTCAGTGGAGACAGGGTTTCACCATGTTGGTCAGTAGGTCCCAATCTTTTGACCTTGTGATCCACCCACCTCAGCCTCCCAAAGTGCTGGGATTACAGGCATGAGCCACTGCGCCCAGCCCCTATCATTAGTTTTTAAGACCGAAGTGATTCAACAGTATTTTGGTTTTAAACAATTATGGAAAACCTATTTGACATTCTCTTAAAATAACCTTTGGACCATAGGAGATGGCAAAACCCAAAGAAGAGGGGTCAGAGAGAGGGCTTCCTATGTCTGACGATGGAAGACGGTCAGATATACACACACAATGCAAACCCTCCTGGCTAAGGTGGCACCACCTCACCTGGTGGGGGCGTGTTTCTGTTCCTCCTCCTCGTCCGTGTCACTGCTGATGGTGATGACGCTGACAGTGGGGCTGGGGGTGTCGGGAATGACAATTGTCTGCCGCTGCCGCTCCCGGTTGGTGCTGGAGGCCACATCGCCCCACCCACAGGTGACTGAGGTGCTGCAGGCCGGGCTACTGTGCACCATGGCACAGCGGGGAGGTGTGTTCTCCTTGACACGCTTGGATCGCTGTGGGGAGCTGATGGCCTGCGAGGAGGACACTTCACAGGTGGAGACATTTCTGTAATGAGAAAACCACACTCGCACACAGAGGAAGGTCAGGCCCACAGCTCCTTCAAAGGAGAAGCACCTGCTTTGCCACATCTCTAAAAAACAGCGGCTGGCCAATGAGTCTCCATCCGTGACTGGAAAAGGGACCATTCAGTGAGCTGCTACACAGTCCTTCTCTGGGCTCTGGTCTGGATCTACGTGCCTGCTTCCAGCAGGACAAAGGGAGCAGCCAGGGTTTTGGGAGCAGGGAGGGGGCTCTAGTGCCCCAAGCTCTACATGTCTTACAGGAGCAGATGTCATGCCAGGATTCCAGCTATGTTTGCCCCAACACCCCCCTTGCCTCCAGGGTCAAGGCCCTACTTCTGAGCTCTGTCTTGTGTCATCCCTTCAAAGGTACTTAAGTCTTGTTTTGGGGGTAGGGAAAGAACTGATGTTTGCCACATCAAAGCTTTGGTTTCTTACTAATGATTATTCTACTGAAACATTCTTTAAGAGTTTCAGGATCTAAAGGACCTAACCTTGGTGGCCAATGGTTCAGTTTTCCTTCTTTCCTTCTCTGGACAAAGAACACGAACGTCAAAGTATTTGTGTGCATATAATTGCTAAAATCCTTAAAAATGATTTTGCTGGATTTTGCTTCATGGAGCCTCATGGGAGGCTCAGTAGTTTGAATTGTAATACAGAATTGGGAAAAGTGCAAGAGGAAAAAGTACTCTTAAAAAGAGACCTTTTAATCTTAATTTTGATCAACTTGAAATTCCTTACTAAATTAGCTAATGTGATTCTCGGTAACTTTAGGGGAAAAATAGCTTTCCCCTTCTCCATTAAATCCTCACTGACTCTAGTTCAGGTTGAGTATCTCTTATCTCAAATGACTGGTACCTGAAGCATTTTGGATTCTTTTTTTTTTTTTTTTTTTTTTTTTTTTTTTTCAGATTTTGGAATATCTGCATATACATAATGAGATAGATAATCCTGGGGATGAAACTCAAGTCGAAACACAAAATTCTTTTGGTTCATATATACCTTATACACATAGCCCGAGGTAATTTATACATTATTTTAAAATAATTTTGTGCATGAAATAAAGTTTTGACTGAGACCACATGTCAGGTGTGGAACTTTCCACTTATGGCACCACGCCAATGCTCAAAAAGTTCCAAATTGGGGACCATTTTGGATGTGTGGATTACGGATGCTCAACCTGTAATATCTATGCAGTGAGAGACTAATGCCAGTGTGTAATGAAACTCAGACTTTTATATGTCTTTGGAGATTCTAGCACCTTCTAGCTGAAGGGATGGCAGTAAAATGAAAATAATTCAATAAAGGTGGATTTATTTTTCTGTCAAGCTAGTGCCAGATCCTTCCGGGGGACTGGTGATCTGTTTCGCTGGTAAGATTGTATCATTGTTTGTACTTACTATAAACCTATGTATTTGTTATTGCTAATACATTACAATTTTAAGATTATGTTTTTCACTACCAGCGGTTTTAATATCTCCACTTGGCATTGTTAAGGAAAAGTACGCCTGGCCACATCGCCAACAAGGGAGAGACTTCTGGTCTTTCAGACTGTTGTGCTGAAGGCACTGGTCTTAAAAATAAGCAAATACATAACTTTCACTATAATTATATCGATCTTGAAGTGTACTGGCAGTGAGTCTTCATGAGGCCAGCTGAGTGGTGAGTTGACAAAAAAGGAGGGGCTTGCTAAACAGGTTGGGAGGCTGAGGGTTCTTACTGCCTCTACTCAGCCAAGGTGAACTCATGCTCCATGTGACCTCGCTGGGCATGACAGCCCATGAGAATGGAGACAGTGGACTTTGGTGCCACCCAGTGTAATAATGACATGGGTGAGTTGTCACAAGGCTGCCAAACAAAAGCATTCTGGAAAGCAGCCAACGTTCTGAGATAAATTTCCCTGAGCTGTCAGAAACACCCAAATAAGGAATCTGGAAGGATGACAACTTCAGCCCTTGGATCAGTGTTTGAACGAGAATGAAAAGAAGAAGGCCTAGTTTCTGGTATCTGGTTCCATGAGGAGGCAGAAAACCAAAATCCACTAGACATTTTGTAAACCAGACTTCTCTTGATTAACTTATTGAAATAAGCAATTAAGCACCTCCGAGTCGTGGCATTAGGAAAAGAGGTAGGAGCAATCCTGCAGTCACAAGATCTCTCTCTCTCTTTGGGTTGGAAATCTCTATGTTTTTAAAAAGTCAGGTTATTAAGGTATAACTGACATATAGTAAAATGTCTCCCTTTGAAGTGTTGGATGAGTTTTGACAAATGCACAGTCATAACCCCCTATTACAATCCAGGCTTATAGCTTGTTCCCGCAGGCTTCCTCGTAGTCCGTCTCCTCCTCTCCAATGCGCTCTGGCAAGCCCTAAGCGGATCTCTGTCTCTATGTTTTGCCTTTTCCAAATAGCCATATACGTGGAATCATACATCATGCAACCCTTTGTTGGCCTTGATTTTTTAAAAGTGTTGAGATAAGAACGGATTTAAAGGGAATGGGAAAGATTCGTGTTCTGCTGGTTAGTGTCTGGGATTAAATAAGCTATTGCTTGCATTTAAGCAAGGTGCTGAATCAGTTAAACTTCTGTATCTTAGATACAAAGAAAGCACATTTCTTTGGTATTTTAAAAAACATTTTAAGCAATTTTTAACATTTTAAAATAATTATTATGGTAAATGGTTTCCAAAATGAAACTTCAGGTGAGGCTGAGTGTTCTCTGGACAAGGAGAAAGTGACAAAGATCATTTGCTTCACCAAACTTTAGTCAGGCTTGTGAACCTTCTCCTAGATCTAGCTGTGCACTCTGCTGCACAATCTAGTTTTGGCAAAAAACCCTGCTAAGTCAGTTTAGCAAGAACCCACCATCCTGGATATCTGATGACCCTTGATATCTGATTAGGTTCCTCATTCTCCAGGTGATGTCTGATCACCTGGCCCTATCACTAGCAAGAATCCTGTTAGGTCAGTTTAGGCAGAACCTCCCTTACTCCTAATGTTTCCTCTTAGTAACTTCCCATCCACTGACGCCCCCAGCCTCGCCTTGGCTGTAAATTTTCACTTGCCCATGCTGTATGGAGTTGAGTCCAATCTCTCTTGCTCACTGCAAAATTCTGTTGCATCCATCCCTATACTATTGCCACGAGTTTAAACCAAGTCTTCCTTACTATGATTTAAGAAGTATTAGTGACTACATTTTTTTTTTTTTTTTTGTAATTAACAAAAGGGACTGAAGCTCTCACGGCATTGAAATGCAGTGATTCCAAGCACCTACCTCTAGGGCGCCGGCAGCACTGCTTCTAGGCTGAGGCAAGAGGCAGGGCTAGCAAGTGCACAGAGCCCGGAGTGAGTGCTTCCTGCAAACCCTAGGCCAGTCCATGTGGTACGGGGTGTTTTGCTGGCACTGCAGGAAGAGGAGTGCCTCATGTCCCATGCAACTGTCCCATGTTCAGAGTGCTGCTGATACTCCCTAATCCTAAACTGCATTTCTTTAGCACTCACACCTCCCAGGATTTTTCTTCCCTAGGGTGGCTCTCACCACCTACCTCACCGATGACTGGTGCTGCTTACTCTTCCGGGAGGAGGTGGTGCTGGTTGGCTGCTGCCGCATCACGTGGGCCACACCCACGTTTAAGGGCTGGGCTGCTGGAAGGGTCACATGACCGGTCAATAGCGCAGGCTGCTGCATGATGGGATTGTAATGGCTTCCATGAGCATGCGTGTTCCTGAGAGGGAGCCGAGACAAGGTGCCTTAGAGGTGTTCTAAAAGCAGAGCTCCTCTATAAGTGCAAGCTTCCTCCCCCATGAAACGCTGACTGCACTTGGTTATCTCACTAGCTGGGCAGCTGCTGAAGGGATGAGCCTGGCTAGGCGTGCTCATTAGGTGGGTTTCCTGGGTGCGGAAAAATTGAAGCGCGGTGCTTAAGCAGCAGGAAAAACACATCTGACTTGTCAGTGAGAAAGAGGGCTTTCAAGCAGGAAGAATGCTGTGTGCCAGCTCCGAGTTTTTAAGTTCTAGGGACGAGAGATAAATATTCCCTCCAACTTTTTAAAGTCCCTGAGCGCCAAGATGGTTATGCTGGACGATATTCTAAATGGCTCATGCCGGTAATCCCAGCACTCTGGGAGGCTGAGGTGGGCGGACAGCTTGAGCTCAGGAGTTTGAGACCAGTCTGGGCAACACAGCAAAACCCCATTTCTACCAGAAATACAAAAAATTAGCCGGTTGTAGTGGTGTGCTCCTATGGGCCCAGCTACTCGGGAGGCTGAGATGGGTGGATCACTTGAGCCTGGGAGACGGAGGTTGCAGTGAGCCAAGATCGTGCCACTGCACTCTAGCCTGGGCGACAGAGCGAGACCCTGTCTCAAGTAAAATCAAAAAAGTTTCACCTTAATTTTATTAAAAAAAAAAAAAAGTTTTAAATGAAGTAAAAGGGGAATTTTCAAAGTGTCTTCAATGGGTTATTTTATTCCACTCTGTGATGTAGGCAGGATGTCTTAGCAATACCATTTTATCAATGAAGAAAATGTACTTTATGTGAAAAACAAACTTTGAAGCCTGGGAACCATATGTTTCTGGTGTGAGGAAGTGTTAATGTTCTTTTGAATTCCCTCAGTGGCTAGAACAATGCTCAGGCATGTAGCAGCTGATCAATTAATTACACGCTTGTTGAATGAACAATTAGATTAACTGAAGGTTGACTAGACAAGTATAAAGTTGGTATTAAATCAAAATTAATAACAGTCATGATAGAAATACTGGCAGCCCTCATCCTAAAAATGGGTTACGTTTGAAAATTCTTATAATCTGAGTTGTATGAAGCTCTAAGCCTTTTTTTCCCACAGAAATGTTAAAGGTGGTGACTGACTCAGAGATTTGCCCATAAGAACCCATTGAACACATAATAAAATTAAAAGCTAAAGGATAATTCATTTGAATTTTAAAAAACTATAAGATCCTATTGTTGCAACATGGGGAAAAGGATGAATAGAAAAAAAAAGTACATGAACACATTTGTAGGGATTCTCATAGCGTCTTTTGGGTATTTACATGGACTTTAGAAACTGATATTAGGGCTTTTTTTTTTTGGAGACAGAGTCTTGCTCTGTTGCCCAGGCTAGAGTGCAGTAGCATGATCTCGGCTCACTGCAACCTCCACCTCCCTGGTTCAAGCGATTCTCCTTCCTCAGCCTCCTGAGTAACTGGGATTACAGGCACATACTGTCATGCCTGGCTAATTTTTATATTTTTAGTGGAGACAGGCTTTTGCCATGTTGTCCAGGCTGGTCTCGAACTCCTGACCTCAGGTGATCCTCCTGTCTCGGCTTCCCAAAGTGTTGGGATTAGAGACGTGAGCCAATGCATCCAGCCAAGAAACTGATACTATGGCTTCTTTCTTTTGTTACAGCTCTTTCTCCTATAGACAGGTGGCATTCTGTCTCCTTTGAGTCCAACCCAGCACTGGTACTTCTGTTTTTTAGCCACAATTATGGATATTCTTTGGCTCATACATGAAATGGAGAGAGACCAGGAAGAGAGTATGCTGGCTTTAGATGTCTTCTGTGGTCACTAGGTAAGAGATGTCAAAAAGGAAGGAGGGAGGAAGAATAAGAAAATATGTAGAAATTAGCGTTTATGTATTTCTGAGTGTATATGTATTTCTGAAATTAGATGAGCTATAAATGCTGAAAGACAAAGGGAAAAAAAAAAAGGAACATGTCATGTGTGTGGTCTTTTAGGGAGAAAGGGGTGAGGAAAAAAACCCAGCTGGTCAGACAGCTTTCCACTTGGCTGCTCCTAATGAGCTGGAGGAGGAAAGGCGATCTTGCTGAGCATGGGCTGAAGTGATAAGAGGGAAGGGAAGATGACAGATTTATTTAATGCCTGTCATGTACCAGGCACTGCGATGGTACATGTTAAACATAGACCAAGCGCCTTGTATTTTATCTTAATTTAAACCTCCCAACAATCCTATGAAGTAGGCATTACTGTCCCCACTTTATTGAAGAAGAAACTGAGGTGCATAAAGGTTAACTGGCCCCAGGTCATGCAGAGTTGGGACTGAACCCAGCACCACCTGGTTTGGAGAAACTGCTTCCAGTGAATGGGGGTGGCATGAGGGTATTGCCAGTGGGGAGTGAGTGGGACCCTGGGGAAGGGCCCGGCTACTCTGTACTGGGCGGAAAATTAAGTGGAGGAATGGAGGAAGCTGCGGTAGGGGTCTGACTGGGGGTTTATATCACCACCTTTCTACTTTTTCCCTGAGAGATCTTAATTTATCATAACCTCGTAGGTCAGAATAAGAACTGTGGGAGGCTCCCTGGGTGATACGGAGACTGTCAGGGAGTTGAGGGGAATTCCCTGCCCTGATATTCGTGCAGAATGAGAGATAACCCAAAAGGGCCATGAGGAGCTGGGGACAACTTGCAGGGTTGCCATCTGGCTGTGCACTGGTAGAGGGGACCAGTATGGTGGCGTTGGGGGGAGGTACAAGGACATCAAGCCATAAAAATAACAGAGGAGTGCATCTGTGGGGAAGTCATGAGTTGGGAGGGTGGAGCTCTGGAAGCAGATGCTGGGGGTACGGTGTGCTGGCAGGCATCGGGTGGATGCCTCTGGGGTGTATGGGAAGTAGACTCGGATATGTAAGATATGACTATTAGCTGAAGAGCACACTCTGCAAACACGCCAGGGTTTACCCTTCCAAATAAACCCCATTCTGTCAAGCCTTCCCATGGGAGGTCGGATAGATTCCAGAGTACCCCCGTCACAGACATCTTCAGAACACTTTCTAGAATTGCTTGGGGCTTTGGGGACCCTCTTCTGCATTCTTTCACTGGTGACAGACTTTGTTTTCTGAAAGTGGAATTTGATTTGGAGAAACTACCAAACATCATCCAGAACCCAGTCTGGTGACTTGCACTGATGATTAAATGACATAACTGAATTTGGGGTGGCAATGACAACTGAGCATAAGTTAATGAAGCAGATTTTCTCGTCTCCTGGTCTATTATTTAAAAATTGCTTCTTGTCACATAGTCCACACAATATTTTTTTAAAGCTTTAAAAACCTCTCTACAAGGAATTCAAGTACAGGCCAGCCTGGCAGCCCTGAGTTGACAGTGGCCACGTTTCCCATCCCAGACACATTCACTCACCCTAGAGGGGTTTCCTACTTACCTCCAGTCCGCCAACTGCTGGGTGCCGGCCATGGTCTCGGGAATCACGGTGGCATGCTGCACTGATGTGTGGGTGGCCACTCCAGTAAGCTGCTGCCATGCTGGGGGAAGCAGGATCTGCTGGGTCCCACTTGGCCAAGCCTGCTGTAGAACAGAGGACATGTGCAATGACCATGTTTGCTAACCATATAATTAATTTGCATGAATCCGGCACTTATTCTGTGCCTGGGGTTGTGCTAGACCTTCTTATGGGTGTGAGAGTGGGAGGCTGGTCTCTGGCCTCAAAAACTAAAGTAAAGGGGAGATAAAAAAATGAACATATATGAACTAAGTAGAAGATAATTAAGTACAGGGACACAGTTGTATGGAAGGGATTCATTCATGTTGAAGAATGACTTCTTTGTAAGTTTGCTCTAATGAGGGATGTTTGAAGTTTCTGAAAGTTCATTTAATTGTTCTGTCTCACGACTATGAACAGGGGATTGGGGTAGTTGAGTTGGGCTAGCTGAGGATGACTGCTTGCCCTCAAGGAGCTTTCTGCCTAGTATCCTTTATTTAACATTTTACCTTTGGTTTATCAATTCGATTCTAGGTTCCAGCTTGTGTTATCTTTGGAATCAAAGTTTACGCAATTCGAAGATCACTGAATATCTGGAACCTACATCTGAGAGCAAGCAAGTATGAAGTAAAATTCTTAGCTGTGACCATAGCTTAAGTGACAATTACTTCGATTCCTCAAAGCAAAAATGAGAGGTGGAAGTCACTGCTTGAATCTAATTTTTCTAAGAAATCTAAAATGAACTTTCGTGATTCCTCCTTAATAGATTCACTGGTGTGTGTGTGTGTGTGTGTGTGTGTGTGTGTGTGTGTGTGTGTTTTGTTGGTTTTAAGCTCTCTTTATCCATGATCACTATCCTGCTTGTTTTTGGTTATTAAATGATTCAGACTGAATGCCACTGTCTAAAGCTGGACACTTAAAGGGTAGCCACTAAAGTAAAATACCTTTTGGACAGATCAAGTATTTAATGATTCGCTGTCTTAGCTCTCTCTCTTTCTATCAGAGTGGATGTGCCTAACATTGCGTAATTTACCCTGTGCAGTGCTTCACAAACTGTACATGTGCTCAATGTGTTTTATATGTACAAATAAGCACTTCTGAAAATGGATTACAGATTTGAGTCATGGTTTAAAAAACATTGATGCTTAGAAAAATGATATAATCACATTTGAGAGCTGAGTGGACCGGTTTACCTGTTCCAATATTTCATGGTGCACATGAGGCCCAGTGAGATCGCTTATATGTTTCTGATGCTGTTTGTTTGCTTTTGATGTAGGCAGAAAGCTCAGGGACCACATATCATACCATCAGTGCTTAATATCTGTTGATAAAATGAAAGAAGCAACTCCACCAAGGCTAGCAACTACAGTTAATTGTATTTTGGGTTTACTTAATTAATAGAAAGCAGAAAAATAATTTAATTGATTCAAAGAGTTGCAAATTCCAAATATTAAATGAGTAACAATTTCATTTGCAGTAAGGTTTCTAATGACTTAGTCAGTTGGAACTCATTTCAGATCTCATGAAAAACATTAGTTTTAACTAATGTCATTAAAAAAAATCTTGATATTAAGCTAAGGTTATCATTTTTTTCTATTTCCCTGAAGCGGATATTAACATTTTACCTCAAAGAGATGGGGTAGAAAGACTATTTCTGACTTACTTCACTGATTGATATGCTTGGCTCATTTGCAACAATACTTTGTCAGACATTTTTATAATTTATTACTACTACCAAGAATGGAGTGAACATTTCTTAATGCATATTCTTTGCCAAGCACAGAGTTAAGTCATAAATGGGTTTCTGACTACTACTTTTTTTCTGACTTCTTAACACCAGTTCTATGAGGTAGGGACTGTTATTTTCTTCTATTTTTTCAGATGAATAAATTGAGACACAGAAGTTAAATATTAATAAATTTCCCAGAAATATGATAAATTAAACATACACGTTTATTGCCTTCTCTACACTCAACTAAAATGATAGTAAAGGAATAAAAATATACAGATTCATAAGGGCAAAGAAAGTAGGGGAGAGGCAATTACCATTAATAAAATTTTAGAAGCTGAAAAACTGATAGATAACTAGATGAATTAACAGACTGAAGGAATCTAAGGTCAAGTCTTCATTTCCACTTAGTTCCCAGATCCTTGGTGTGCATGCTTATACCACGCCTCACCCCAACAAAGCAGGAGCCTAGAGGATTCTCTCGAGGGGAAATGATTAGTCTGAGAGAAAAGAACTGCAGATATGACATCTAAGGATCAGGAGATCTGCCAATGAAAGTGCTGGACTTGCCTCTTTTCAGCCTATAGAGAACCCCACATTCAATAGTCTCTCCTCTACCCACCAGATTTCCAATTTGTATTTTAGTGCTTCAGTCTTAAATAGGAATGAACAGCTAATGAACACTACACAGTAAAGGAAGCTTCTGACCTGAAAGAAAATAAAATAAGCAAACAAAAGAAAGAAGAAACAAAAGTAGTGTGGGAATCAGAAGAAAATTTTCTAAAATCTATAACTGATGCCTTTGCAGAGTTAAAAAATATATCCATGAAACAAGATCATGTAAAGAATCAATATATTAAGAGAACACACTCTTTTTTTGGTGGGGAGGGGACAGAGAACAAACTCTTAGAAATGAGAACTATGACAACAGAAATTAACCATTCAAAAGAAGATTTTTTAAAAGTTTAAGAAATCTCTTAGAAAGTAGTAAAGACAGAAAATATATAGGACATAGAGGAAAAAAGATAAGAAAATTAGAAGATCAATTTAGAAGTACCAATACCCAATTAATAAGAATTCTGCCAAGGAGGAACAGAGAAAATGGAGGGGAAGAAATTATCAAAGGAAAAAAAAACCCAGATTAAAAGGGCAAATAGGGTGTTCGGGACAATGTAAGAAAAAAGACCCATAAGAAGGCATGTACATGTAGTCATGAAATGTGAGTCCACTGTGGATGAGGAGAAAGTCTTAAAAGCTTTCAGAGAGAAAGCATAACATACTGAGATCAGTATGCTCAAATACATCAACACATTAAACATAGAAAGCTTTTATAGCTCTGGAAGGGTTTGGGACTGTATAATAAGATATATAGAAAACAAACCCAGTGGGAAAAAATGAGGCAATCATTAACTCCAGGAAAAACAAAAAGTTGTGTAAGAAAGAAAACATAATCACGGTATATTATAAGGTTCAACTGAGAATAATGTTATATAATATCGATAATTATGTGCATATTACAAAGGATTTGAATAAAAATTATATGGGAGGAATAGGAGAAAGGAAGAGTGTGTGAGAGGAGGAACAGGAGAGAAACTGTGTGTGTGTTATGGTGATGGCAGTGGGCTAGAAAGCTAAATCTTCATCTTCCATAATAGGAAGTCAATGGATAATACCTAAAATGGAAAAAAAAATAATAAAAAGCAGTCTAGGCATGTTATTTAGAAACACAGAATTAAAGAACAGATTAAACAGTTAAGTTAAAAATTATTGTTATGGGCAGGGCACAGTGGCTCATACCTGTAATCCCAGCACTTTAGAAGGCCAAGGCAGGCAGATCACTTGATGCCAGCAGTTCAAGACCAGCCTGGCCAACATGGTGAAATCTTGTCTCTACTAAAAATACAAAAGAATTAGCTAGGCATGGTAGCACATGCCTGTAATCCCAGCTACTTGGGAGGCTGAGGCATGAGAATTGCTTGAACCCAAGAGGCAGAGGTTCCAGTGAGCTGAGATTGCACCACTGCACTCCAGCCTGGGTGGCAGAGCAAGACTCTGTCTCAAAAAAAAAAAAAAAAAAAAAATATATATATATATATACACACACACACACACACATACATATATGTATATATATATACATAGTTATGTGGAGTAGACATTAAGAATGGGATAGAGCAAAGGACTATAATTTTCCTATAAATTTATGGTATTATTTAACTTTTAAAAATTACGTACATCTGGCTGGGCATAGTGGCTCACACTTGTAATCTCAGCACTTTGGGAGGCCGAGGCGGTTGGATCACAGATTTGAGACCAGCCTGACCAACATAATGAAACCCCATCTCTACTAAAAAATACAAAAGTTAGCCAGGCATGGTGGCATGTGCCTGTAATACCAGCTACTTGGGAGGCTGAAGCAGGAGAATCGCTTGAACCCAGGAGGCAGAGGTTGCAGTGAGCCGAGATTGCATCACTGTGCTCCAGCCTGGGCAACAGAGCAAGACTCCCATCTCAAAAAAAAAAAAAAAAAAAAAAAAAAAAAAAGTACATGTATTACTCTGAAAAGGAATTAAATTTAAATTTCAAAAATAACTTCTCCAAAGCCATACAGCCAGTATGTGGTGAGGCAGGCATCTGAATGTGGGCAATCTAATCCCAGTGCCTATGCTTTCAGCCAACATACTACCTCTCCTTGTGTTAATTATACACAAAAATAATGCCCCTTGTTGAGGATCAGGCCTTGGTGGTAACTGCATAAAGGTGGCACGAATGAGTCTTCCTTATTCTCTAACAATATCAGGTGCCAGTCAAGAGAGAAGCACACAGCAGGACAACAGCTGGAAAGACTGGTTGCTGAAAATGTTTTCAGAGGAGTTTTGAGTGACAAACGTTCAAGTTTCATATTTTGGACACTTTAAAGAGTTCAAGCCAACAATTTGCTTTTAGGGAAGCATTTAAAGGTTCAGTTGGTCAAATATGAGCCCAAGAAATAAAATAAATAAGTAAAAAATAAAGAGGTGAAGGTGATATGATTTGATTGGCTATAGAATGCAAAACACTTCTTCATGGAAGGGTGCAGTCTACAGTGATCTGGCATTTCTGAATTTCTTCTCTAGCCCTGCTACTCAAGGGAGATTTTAGATCCTGCCATTTGACACGTGAGATAAATTCAATACTGTCTCAATCAAGAACTATGCCTCCCATCTCTCCACCATTACCTACTCATTCATAATTTCTGTTGGTGGCCAAGATGCTAGCTGTAGCGTGGGGCTTGGGAGGATGGAGATGACAGCTCCTTTTAGGCAGTACCAAAAAAGCTTTTGTTGTAAGGTGATCCATAAGGATCACTCCCATATCACTGACACAAGAAGTATGGTTACCGTTTCCACCTGCCATCGCACATCCTCTGGGTACCCCAGAGAGGCTCGTTTTCCTGAAAGTTTTATGTGATGCTGCTGGGAGATGGGGAGGAAAGGGCAATGAAAATGAAATTAACATGAGGAGTGGATTCAAAGATTCCATGTCTAAATGTTCACAGGTAAAATCCTTTAAAAGATTTTCAATATTTAGAGAAAAAGAATAATGTCAACTTTTTGAATACATTTAAGTCAAATAATAGTATTTGGAATGCCTCTGCCCGGTGCCTAGAAATTTAACCATAGAAAAATGAAGGCTTCAGTTTAAATGCTTAATTACTGCTTTTTTATAGCCACCATAAGACTTTTATAAATTAACTTATTTTCTTCCTTTGAAGGGAACATTTAAAAACATCTAGGAGAGAGCCCATCTCAACAGGCTAACATGTTGGCATAGATTAAGTGACAAATGGAGAGAAAAATAAAAAGCAACTGACAAAAAGACACAACACAATACTGGATAGGACAGGATTTCTTTCACTTAATATATCTTAGAAATCTCTGCATGTCAAGACACACAGGTCTACCATGTCCTTTTAATGGCTACATGGTGTTCCATTTTACATGTATATCAACTTATTTAACCAATCCCCTACTGATGAACATTCAAGTTTCTTCCAACAATCCCTGTTATAAATACAGTAGCAATTAAAATCCTTACACATATATTTTTTGTTCACTTTCCTAATTACAGCTTTAGGTTAAATCTACTTGGAGATTTACAACACTCTAGGGACCCTCTTTCAAGTAAGCAAAAGGTAAAGCTCTCCCTTGCTACGATTAAAGGACTGAAACAAATTCTGACTGCCGAACCTACTGGTTCCACCAAACTTAACAATGAAGAATGCCTGTGTTAGCTAATAAGAGATGCTAATTATTTCTTTCAGAGACGGTTCCTGGCTTACTAGGGTTAAGTGTGCAAACAAAAAAGATCTGTAATTATCCTTTACAAGTACACGTGAGTTTTGTAGATTTGGACTCACAAAGGCAGAGCATTGGGAGACTGGTGTGGAGTTTTGCCACTCATGTAATGTATGAACAAGCTTTTTTGCCCCTGGACTGAGCTGTAGTTCTTCTTCTGATCTATGTTGGTCTTTTCTGAACTCCCTACTACTGAACTATGCAAATAAAAGGAAGCTCCAAGGACCCACTGGTGAGAGAGGAAGGAAGAGAAGGCCTTTTTTAAATACAAAAGGTTCTCTGTTTACAAACTTTCAATAAGACGAAACTTTGTGTGCCACCAGTGACTGGCGTTAGTGGTCAATTGCACAGTGTCATTTTGGACATAAGAACAAAGAGATGAAGAGTTTAATATAAACTTAAAAAACTTAAACTTCTGGAAAACAGAACAGATAATAATATAACCGCATCAGATCCATCTGGTTCTATTTTTATTTAACAAAGTTGTGAGTTTTTTTTTTTTTATTTGCCATGGATCCACAGGTTAAAGGTCACGTAACCTGAGCATGCCCAGATGAGCCAGGTATGTAACCACAGGCAGAACCTAAGTGCCTGGACTGAGGTGAGTAGGTGGAATTTAGAAATGGATACCACATGGCAGGATCCATGTTCCAATCAGATCGAGCTCTGGCATCACCCCATGGCAGGATCCAGTCAGATCATGCCTCTTGCATCAATTCATTGCAGGATCCAATCTGATCATGCCTCATTACCCTATGCTTATAAAACCTGACCCAGCCCTTCTCTCAGAGAGACACTGCTTTGAGAACTATCTCTGGTGTTCTCCTTACTTGTTACAAGTAATAAAATCCCCTTGCTAATTCCTCCTTGGTTGTGGTTACTGGGTTGGTACCTGTCACGTGACCAAAGCTGCTCATGTGGGTAATAACAATAAGAAGATATTTTATGAGCCTGGTGTAACCTTGTACTCAAATCAGATAAGGATTTTATAAGAAAGGGAAATTATATGCCATTTTTCACTTATGAACATAGATATAAAAATACTAACTACACTATTTACAAACTGAATCCAATATTAAAAAGCATACCATATCAAGCACATGAGCAAATGGAGTTTATCTCATAAATAAAAGGATGGTTTAATATTAAAAAAAATATTAACATAACTTGTCCATTAGTAGATTAAGGAACAAAAAGCATGAGTATCTTAATAGATACAGAAAGAACATTTGACATAATTCAATATTCATTACAAAACTTAAACATGATAAAGTGTTTCTATTATTTATTTATTTTTTTTTAGAGACAGGGTCTCACCCTTTTGCCCACCCTAGAGTGCAATGACATGATCATAGCTCACTGCAGCTTCAAACTCATGGGCTCAAGTGATCCTTCTGCCTCAGCCTTTTGTGTAGCTGGGACTATAGGCATGTGCTACCATGCCCGGCTAATTTTAAAATTTTTTTGTAGAGACAGGGTCTCATTATGTTGCCCAGACTGGCCTTGGACTCCTGGGCTGAAGTGATCCTCTTACCTCAGCCTTCTGAGTAGTAGCTGGGACTATAGGCCTGGGCCTACAGGTGTGCACAACTACACCCATTACAGAGAGTTATACCATGTTCATGGATGAAAATGACTTCTATGTTTAAAGATGTCAGTTTTTCCTGAAGTAAATATAAATTCAATGTATATCCAACAAATACAGGTTTTTTTGTTTCTGAAACTAAAATTTTTATGAAAGAGTGATGTTAAAATTCATATGGAAATGTGAAGGGACAAGGACAAGGAAAATTTGGAGAACTGTATGGGAACAGGGCTTCCCTACTAGAAACCAAGACAGAGTAAAGTTACAATGGTTAAGACAACAGGATATTAGAGAAGCCCATGGAATAGAAGAGAGTGAAGAACAAACCTATGCAATTTGATGACATAAAAATTAAATTTTTAATTTTTGAAATTAAAAATTAAACAACAACAAAAACAACTTCCACTTAATAAGACAGCACAAATAGTGTACTTGAGAAGAGCCTTTATGAACCTGCCTGATTTAAAAATAAAGTTGCTTCTAAACTAGTAACATTTAGGTCAAGCCACTCAACAGTAGGAATGATTATACAACAGTAGTATAGCATGGTGGTGAAATACAGATGCTGGCATCAGACTTATTGGGTTTGCGTCCTGGTTCTGTTGCCTAATTGTTATGTGACTCTGATGAGCAAGTTATTCTGTGTCAGCGTCCCTGTTTGTCAAATGGAGAAAAATACAGTAGCATTGTGGGGATTAAATCAATAACAACTGTAAAGTGCCTGGCATAATGATGACGTATTTCTTATTAGGGTTTGAGTGTCATTAAGGATTATTACTATTATCATGGCATCACGACTGTTACCTTACGTTTACATAACACTTTACAAATTTTCAACCGTTTTTCATCTCTGCCATCTCATTCTCCCATCAGAGCACCTACATGGATAGATAAGGAAGGTTCCCGCTTACAGTTTCCATGAGGCTGGTTTTTCAACTATAAAATGAGAGGATAATCGCCAAGGATCCTTTTGGCTCTTAAAAATCATTTTTATTTTACAAGAAAGAAATTTCGGGCAAAGAGATATTAACTGACTTGCCCTAGGTCATAGACGAGTTACTAGCAGTTAGGATTAAAACCTAGGTCTCCCAGATTAATTTGCATTTCAAAGATATAATAATAATAATAATTTCCCCAGACTCTCCCTGTATCTAAATTTCTTCTTGGAATTCTAAGCAGATACTTAGGAAGGTAATTCACTTGGGGACCATTTATAATATTACAGATACATTCCAATGACTAGAAGCACCTAACTCATGACTAGGGAGAGAGGGAGTGGAGATATATATCTTTTGTGAACACCATTAACACGGGTAATACCAGTAATAAGAAAGGAGAAAGAATTACCTGGGCAAGCAGACCTGGTTGGATCTGAAGAGGCTGAGCTCCTGGAGCTTGAGTGACAATGGGAACCGCATTTTCCATTCGCACTGAGTAGCCAGCGTGCTTAGAGGGAGAGGCCTGCAAGCCTGTTCCGGACAGGGCGAGGGAGAGAAGGGTTAGCCGAGAGGCTGCGAACAGCTGCACGAAGAGAACCTTCCTAGCCGGCTACACCGTCTTTCAGCTTCTCTCTGCACCGCTCACCGACCAAAAACTAAGTACTGCCTGGTCCTTGGGAAGTTTCCCCTTTAGCTTCTAACGAATCAAAAAGCAAAACTCCTCTCGAAACCTTGAATGTTTTCAAAGGCTAGAAGATTAAATGAAGGAGGCTATAAGGTCAAAAGTAGGACAGTTAATGCTGATAGATTACAATAGGAAAACAAGGGCTTCTAACCAACGAAGAGGGACCTGTGGATGTCGAAATAAGGGGTGTCGGGGAGAGATGTATGAACCTGTTGGGAACTGCATCGACTATAACCGCACGGTTTTCACCATGAGGCCTGCAAAAATAAATTCTTAAGCTTTCTGGGTAAATTGTAACAAAGTACATAGTCTAGCTTCTTAGAGTCTACAGGAGATGAGTGCTGGGGTCACAGCCAAAGAATCGTTTTGAGGAGGGGTCCCAGGAAAGTACTTTTCAGACTGATTGATATTCTTCACGGGAGCTGGGACTGCTGGCTGTCGGAGATTGGCAGTTTTCTATAGATAACCCACACAGAGGATATTTCATGCGAGGAAAAGCAAGAGCTGACATCAGCATAACAACGAAAGCACAAACAATGTCCTTCTTTGCAGACAGCTGGCCGAGGACACAGTCCCTGGCAGGTGTGAGAGTCACAATGAATTGACTTGGTGCTGAGGCATAAGCCCTTTGTTTCTAGCTTGGCCACAACAGGAAGGAGCCCTCAAGTACAGTGACACCAGCACTCTCACTGGGAGAAATGAGGCAGGCCTTGCTCCATGAAAATGAGTGTGACAGAAAACTGCAGGTGCCAGAGCCCCAGAGGGTGTCCTGTAAGAAGCAGGTGAGAGGCTGCGGCTGCTCAACCTTACCTTGGAAGCCGGGTGGACACACGATGAGAGCTTGCTGGAATGGGTCAGGCCGGGCACAAATCTGGGCTGTTCCCGTCTGCAGGGGCATGCTCCGCTGGGCCACTGCAGCCATGGATGCTGCTGAGGGCTGGTAGAGTGTAGATGGGTAGTTTAGTATGGAGACTTCGGGATTGGCTAAGGAAATAGTGGCACTGGTAGAGGAGGGAGCCTAAAGGAGTGATGGGGATTAAACAAAAATAAACAAAAATAAAAAATGAGGGAGGTGATATGTTGGGAGACACGAATCTAAATCAAATAAATGATCTCAAAGAAGAACAAACAAACAAAAAGTGAGAGCAAAAAGGCAAAAGCAGAGAGGAGTGGAAATACGGTTGCAAGTCGCAGGGAAAAGCAGGCCCCTGAAGGCATGGGAGACAGTCACCTTGGTGTTCATGTGCAGACCTGCTCCTGACATTTGTGGGGCCCGGGCCAGGGGACACACGGACGCCTACTACCCTATGTCTAAATGCTGACAAGCTAAAAATTAAGCTAGAAAACTGTTTAACAAAATGTTCTGCCTTCTCATTTTGCACAAATACACCTTCACAATAACCTGGAAGACCAGGTGTGAGTTGAGGACTCCGGGATTCCTTGGGTTCTGGGCTGGCACATGGTAACAGGGAGACAGCTGAACCTCACCCTCCTTCTCTCTGCCCTAGCTCCATTCTGTCCCACAACACAACGGGCTTTGGGTGCATGGACCTGCCAGCCTGCGCGTGCAAGCTCTGCTCACACTCCCCTCGGGCCTGGTGGGTGCAGTCCACATGTGGGAGGCTCTTGCAGGCTCTAAAGGCCTATGGTCTCCAGTCCCCAGAGCTTGGCACAGAAGCACATGAAGCGGGCGGAGAGCAGAGCCGAGGAGGGGCTCAGGTCTGTGGTTTATACTAGTAGTATATAAACAGGGCAGTACTGTTTATAGATGTCCTTCGAATGGCTGCAAAGCAGGTTACTGCTAAGAGACGTGCAGGAGAGGTATGCAGAGAGGGGGAGGGACATGCTGAGCTGGGGACTGTGTGCCTGCATCCCAGGCACTCATGTTAGGTATGCAGTGACGAAGGCTGGACGGCAGACAGAAAAGATGCTGGTGAGTCCAGATAACTGAAATGGACGTGGCTCTGACAAACACAAGCCATTGACATTATGTCCTCCCGCCTTTCTCTTTCAGAAAGACACATCGTTTGAGACTGAACTTGCGTGTGAAATGAGACTGCAGAAGGGAAATACATTCTAACTTCGAAATTCTCGTTTCCCTCATCCCAGCCTTCATACCGATCTTTCAGCAAGACAGGTGGAAGTTACCAGTGGTTTCACATTCAGGTAGACATACAAGAGGTTTTGCCTCTAGAAGCTCTAAGGACTGGGGAATATGGAGGAAGGAACCACGAAAATATGTTGGCCATAAATAGAATTTCAAATAGGGCATTTATGTGTGTCACATTTGATAAAAAGGATAAAGTCTTATTTTACATGTTTTCTACACTTGGAAAGATTTTATGCTAAATTTCATTGCAAAGCAAATTGATTTGTTTGAAAATAATCAGGAAATTGAATGTCTGATTTGGAGCCACGTGTTTTAAAGCGGGATTTGCTTTTGCAGCATCACAGTCTGCTTGGGACATGTGTACACACATGTGGGCATCAGTGTCTGTGTTTTGTCAGATGACATGACTTGTATTTCCTGTTTTCTCCATATCACGATCTCTTCTGGAGGCTTCTTCCCCCTCAACCCTCCACATTCCCCATGATCTTCTCAGATCCAGACTCCCCCCAGCCCTTAGCCCCTCTGGGTGTCCCTGCTGGGGTCCTGGCATCTGTATCCTCTAGGTTCCCAAGCCTGTGCTCAGCAATTCCACCTTCTCACCAGCCACTGCTCCTGCTGCTGCTTCCTTCCAGATGTCCCTGGAACCCACTGACTCTTCAGTTGTGCCTTCCTGGTGCCTGGGACGTGTAAGGCCCTGACTAGTGATGTTCTGGTCTCTACTTCCCTTCTGGTCTTCTTGGACACAGGGTCTAGATCATTCTTTCCAAAAGACTCCTCTGTGCATGTCGGCACCCCTGCTCCAAAACCCCAATCACTGCTTGATGAACATGGTATATGTGCCTTGGTCTGGCATGCCCTGTTTTCCCTGGTTTGGCCAAACTTACCTTCTAGGCTTATCTCCCTCTGCTCTCCACTCTTCTAACACCAGGAAGATAAGTTTACTCATTGTTTTCTAAGCATTCTGTGAGCACAGGCCTTTCCCCTCATGCAAGTTCTCTGACCCATAGCATTCTGGCCAAGCTGCCGTGCTTTAAGACCTAGCCTGGGTCCCATGGGCCCCATGGTGAAACCCTTTCGGGCCCCATCAGTGGAAATGAATGGCTCCTTCCTTTGCTATCACATAGTACAATAGAGTCTTCTAGCTTCTGTCATGATTTGCCTTACAGTACAGTGGTCTCTCCAGCCTGAAGTCTCCTGGGAGGGAGGGGCTGTGTCTTGGTGGTGTTTTCCTCCAGCCTACAGTGGTTTCTCCTTCCTCTCAGGTCTGTAACACATGATCTGTTTGTCTGCCTGGCCCCTAGTGCATGCTATTCTGCATTTTGATTGATCTATTTTTGCTTACAGCCTGTCTCACCATGGAGACCACGAGCTCCTTGAGAGGTTGAATCTTACAGCTCTTTGTAGATTCAAGGACAAATGGCACTTGTGTCCTGACATGGGCCCAGTCTCCAGTGTGACCATCAGATAGGCATAAGGTTTTCCCCCCGTTTCTAATCCTGCTTAAGGACCAATTGAAGAAGCCCATGTGAGGGCAACAGCGTTTTCTACCCCTGTATATCCTCCTGCAGCTCTCAGAAAGGTAACCAGCCATCACTCACAAGAGAGGGGCACACAGCGCTGGGGAGAGCTCTTGCAGCTGACAAACAGTAATAACAAGAAAAAGCAAGTTAAAAAAATTAGAGACCGGGGCCTCGCTATGTGGCCCAAGCTGGACTTCAACTCCTGACTCAAGTGGTCCTCCCGCTTCAGCCTTCCAAATAGCTAGGATTACAGGTGTGTACCACTGTGCCTGGTGGAAAAGCAAGTTTACTGGTAACACAGGTTTTCCAAAAATGGAAGAAGTGATTCCTAGAAGCAGTTGTAGTAGACGTTCAAATGGTTTGACATCCAGAAGGGAGGGCTTTTAGCTTGGCCTATAAACCCAAATTCAAATTCTTGGTAGAAGGCTGGGTCCAAATATTAGACTTCCACGGAAATGTTAAAGAAGTGGCTGATCCATGGGAGAAGGCTCATTATTCACTATGTTACCAACTGGGTAACCTGAACGTTTTAGAAAGTAGAGGAATTCAGCTGCCTTGAGACATACAGGGTTATGAATCATTGACCCAGCTTGAGACATAAAGGACTGTAGATTCATGACCATTTGGGAAATGGTTCGTTGGTTAGTCTACTGGATATATGTTAAAGGCAGCAAGAATTCTTTATGTAGTTTAATGTTCTTCAACTTCTAACATAAAACTATGCATATAATTTATTTTATCTAAATGGGCAAACAGTTCCAAGGAGCTCATGTAGAAAGCAAGCTACTAGAACCAGCAACAAACAAAAGAAGTCTTACTGGATTTAAACAGCGGCTGTCACCCGGGAAAGGCATCTGAGGACCTCCGTAAGACTTACTTAGGACTGACTTATACTGCTGAGTGTGCCTATTTTAAGAGTCTAGACTCTGAAGCCAGATTGCTGGCTTCAAGGCCCAAGCCCATCTCTCAAGGACAAGAAAGAGCCTTGGGTAAGAGAATTAATCACTCTGTGCCTCAGTTTCCTCCTCTAAAATGGAAATAATAGCAATGCCCATCTCACAACGTTGCTGGGAGGACTAAGAGTTACGGCACGATTAGTAGAGCCTGACACATAATAAATGTTAGCTATTAGTAATGATATTATTTGCTAACAATATTATCACTGAAGGGAAGGCATGCCTTAGTACTTAAGGCTAGGTATGTCCTGAGTAATTTTTTTTCTGATGTATTTTAAAGTAAGGCATAGTAGAATCCGATGCAAGAGAATGGAAATCCTGTTCTTGGACCCTGACCCAAACTCTGGCCCAATCTTACTACATTACCAGCCACTTCTACTCTATCCTGGTCCCAAGCCAGATCTGGATGGTCGCAGTGCTGTGGAGAAGAGGCGTGTTCTTATTTGACAACCATCTTTGGATGAGAAATCCTTTTAGTTTTTTTTTTTTTTTTTTGAGATGGAGTTTCGCTCTTGTTACCCAGGCTGGAGTGCAATGGCGCGATCTCGGCTTACCACAACCTCCACCTCCTGGGTTCAGGCAATTCTCCTGCCTCAGCCTCCTGAGTAGCTGGGATTACAGGCACGCGCCACCATGCCCAGCTAATTTTTTGTATTTTTAGTAGAGATGGGGTTTCACCATGTTGACCAGGATGGTCTCGATCTCTTGACCTCATGATCCACCCGCTTCGGCCTCCCAAAGTGCTGGGATTACAGGCGTGAGCCACCGCGCCCGGCCCCTTTTAGTTTTATAGAGTCTTTGTGACACTCTTTGGAGTGGATGTGCTGGCTGTCGTATCCTGCCCTCCGCCTGGTCAGGGACCACAGTTCTCCAGCCTGGCAGAAAGACTTCCCTGGGAAGGCCAGCCTGCTGGGGAGACTCCTCCTGACATGATGCCCACAGGGGAGGGGTGCTCTTTCTTTCTATATCTCAGATGCCTTTGATACCTCATGGAGCAGATGGCAGATAGGGATAGGCAGTTTGGGGTTAGGGAGTTAACATCAGGTGTCTCATGAGGGATGGTGGGACCAAAAAAAAAATCTTCAAGGAGGTAATGAACAAAACCATGGAGATTTTTGTCAAGAAGCTCACAGGTCTGACTGCGGATGCCTTAGCCTTAGGGCTGGGCAAGAATGTTTGTATTTGGGACTTCAATAGCTCTTTTACCCTAAGGAGAGCATCAATAATGCAAATGGCCCCCAGGGGGCAGCAGATTCCAGGTGGCCTCTCCTAGAATTTGGGCAAAGGCAGATGGCAGGCTGGGAAGAAAAGCTAGGCCTTAGCCGCTCAGTGTGCCACAAAGGGGAAAAGGGTGGGAAGGGGAGGGGCTGAAAAGCAGGGGACAGTGACTCTTCAGCGACAGGAGGGACCTTTCAAAAAGAAAGGACATAAGGTATTGACATTTCAGGTACACACACATCCACACAGAAGTCTTGTCATTATGGATTGATATTAAGATCAAAAATCTAGGGACCCTTCTTTGGGGGAACCAGGAAGACTGAAAGATGGGAGTAGCAGTTAGAGTTTCTTAGACACTAGAGGCAGTCTCAGCTCAAACTTGGAGATTATTCATTCAATAAATATTGCCTGAGTATCATCCAAGTTTCAAGCAGTATGTTACTGCTCGTTCTGCCAATTTCCTGGAAATCTGTGGGAAGAAAACCTTAGTTTCCTGATTCCGTTTAGTTCCAGCTGCTGGGATTCTGGTAACAGGCTGATGAACTGATTTTCTCCATGACTCGGAGAAAGGACAGGTTTTATCTGTCCCAAAAGGAGATGAGGTAGATCCAGCCATGTGGACGAACGGAGGGGCCTGAACTGGGTGATTCCCTGAGTCCTTCCCAGTTCTAGAATCTTAATTTTTTTTTTTTTAGATTAAATCCGTTTCCATGGTCTTTTTCTTTGTTTTTTGAGACAGGGTCTTGCTCTGTCCCCTAGGCTGGAGTGCAATGATATAATCACAGCTCACTGTAACCCTGAAGCCCTGGGCTCAAGGAATTCTCCCACCTCTGCCTCCTGAGTAGCTGAGACTATAGGCGTGCACTGCCACACCTGGCTGCTTTTTCTATTTTCTGTAGAGATGGGGTCTCACTGTGTTGCCCAGGCTAGTCTTGAACTTCCTGGCTTCAAGTGATCCTCCCACCCTGTCTCCCAAAGTGCTGGGATCACAGGCATGAGCCACGGTGCCTGGCCAGTTCTGGAATTCTTTACCAGGCAAGTATCAGGCATAATAGGATCACAGCACCTCCTTCCCCGTCTTCCCACATCAGGACAGAGGAGGGCAGTAAGAGGAACCATCTCAGAGAGAATGCCCTTCACCAGTCCTTTCTGGGACCTGTCAATGGGGCCAGCGGTCACCACAAAATGTGCCTGGGTCCCTCAAAGGAAATAACCATGGATGCAAATACTTTCTTCAGTTGCTGAATATGACAGCAGGAATTCTGTCTCCTGACTCGGTATGATGGAAAATGTAAGTCCTGAGGCTCACACCATGCAGCCCCGCCTCTCTGTCCCCTCTGCTCCCCACTTACCTGGTTGTGGACAGTAGTCAGCTGGTTGTTAAAGGTCATGGTCAGGTTGGTGGACGTGCTGGGGGCCACGTGTGTGATGAAGGGGGTCTTGCTCTGGTTCACCGTGTCATACATATTCACCCGACGCTTGCAGATCTCCATGTTCTGGAAACATGATTTGACGCTGTTCATACACAAGGCAGAGGCATACAGAGACATAAGGGGAAGGGAAGAGGGTCATGGGATGAAGGGGAGAAAACGGAGAAAGAAAAAGGAGAGAATGGTTAATTCAGTAAACAGTACAAACAGGGAAACTAAACTTGAGGTCTAAGTTTCTTGGATTGCTTGTGCAAAGTCCGTGCATTTGCAACAGGCACGGTTATTTAGATGAATTTTCTCCATGTAGGTTCTATACATCACAAGAGAACTGGCTGCTCACACTACATTCTCATATCACATCCACCTGCAGCGTCACTGCTCATCCTCAACGTTCAGCCTGGTTTCTGGCCCATAAACCTATGTATAAGCCCTCCGAACAGGAACACGAAGTAGCAGCTTACAACCCGCCTCCACCTTTCCCAAAGACAACGCTGGTGGCACCTTCTTCAGCCACCCTGGGTCACCAGCACCACCTAGGGGACGGCCAAGGAACTCTCCAACCCAGTATGGTGACTATTGCCATACTTTCTCCCACTGGAATTGTGCAGGTGGGTAATGGAAACAGTAATAATACTAACAATTAATAGTAGTGGTTAATATTTATTAGTGTCACAATAATGATACTCTGCAACTTCTCACTTGGTCCGGTGACATCCATAAGACGAAGACATGATTCTCATTCCTACTTTACAAGTAACAAGCTTAGGGAGGTAGGCAGTTTCCCAAGGATAGCTAATCACCGGCTACCCTCGCGTATATACCTGTATGTTCTCTTCTGCCAACTTCAGCCTTTATTTTTTTGTCTAAGTCTTGTCCAGTTACATGAAATAGAAATTTTCTCCTTCTTCTTCCCCCATTGCATCTGTGTATCTAAACAAAACTCCAACTACAAAGGTAAAGTATACAGGTGGTGCTGAAACCAGCATTAAGGAAAAGGAAAGCCACAAGTAGCTTCGACCACTCAAGATTCTTGAAAACCCACGAAAAGTGTCCTTCAGAATTTATACAGTACTTCTCATTCACTTCTAGTTAAACTTACTTTTCCTCAAATGCTAGTATTTAAGATAATAAAACCCCTTTTAGTTTGGGTGTGGTGGCTCGTGCCTCCGTCCCAGCTCTTTGGGAGGTCAAGGTGGGAAGAGCTGAAGGGTCTGAGACCAGCTTGGACAACACAGAGAGACCGCATTCTCTACAAAAAAAGTATATAAAAATTAGCTGGGTGTGGTGGTGCATGCCCGGGGTCCCAGCTACTTAGGAGGCTGAGGTTGGAGAATCACTTGAGCCTGTGAGGTCGAGGCTACAGTGAGCCATGAATATGCCACTGTATTCGAGCCTGGGTGACTGAGTGAGATCCTGCCTCCAAAAAAAAGAAAGAAAGAAAAAAGAAAATTCCATTTAACTTTCGATTCAAAATGTCTATTTTAATTAGAAAAGAATGTAACAGCCAGGCACAGTGGCTCACACTTGTAATTCCAGCGCTTTGGGAGGCTGAGGCAGGTGGATCACGAGGTCAGGAGTTCAAGACCAGCCTGGCCAAGATGGTGAAACCCCATTTCTACTAAAAATACAAAACACTGGGAAGTCATGGTGGTGGGTGCCTGTAATTCCAGCTACTCAGGAGCCTGAGGCAGGAGAATTGCTTGAAACCATGAGGCAGAGGTTGTAGTGAGCCAAGATTGCACCACTGCACTCAAGCCTGGGCAACAGAGTGAGACTCCATCTAAAAAAAAAAAAAAAAAAAAAAAAAGTAATAATTGAATATAAGTAAAAGTTTTCTACTGTTTTAGGTTTACAAACGTGTACTACTTCAGCATACTGTGGGGATGCTATCTTTGGGGCTCAGCAGGTGTCTGTGGGCTAGTCCCAAACATCCTTTCTATGAAATGTGCATTCTGAGTTTCAAACGACTGACTGAGACATTACTTAGAGAGTCCTACTTCTTTCTAAGATTCTGACCACTTAACTGGCCACGTCAGGCACACAACATAAACATTTACTGACCGATGACACTGGAGAGAAAAGAAAACATATGCTACAGTATCCAATATCAAAAATACTCCTAATAATGCTGCTAATGCCAGTGTGTTTTGAGCTCCTACTAAGTACCAAGTATACTCCAAGGCCTTGGGTGTGGAGGCTGTAGCATAAAACCAATGCATTTTGTATTCTTTTCGGAATGGGTTTAAAGGATTTGACGGTTTCGTGATAATTCAACACAAAAGTTTCAGACTCCTTCAGAATTTTTTATCTATCTTTCTTTCTTTCTTTCTTTTTTTTTTTTTGAGATGGAGTCTTGCTCTGTCTCCCAGGCTGGAATGCAGTGGTGCAATCTTGGCTCACTGCAACCTCCACCTCCTGGGTTTAAGTGATTCTCCTGCTTCATCCTGCCTGAGTAGCTGGGATTACAGGGTGTGCGCCACCACGCCTGGCTAATTTTTGTATTTTTAGTAGAGACAGGGTCTCACCATGTTGGTCAGGCTGGTCTCAAACTTCTGACCTCATGATTTACCCATCTCGGCCTCCCAAAGTGCTGGGATTACAGGCACAAGTCAGCATACCTGGCCCAGAATTTTCTAACTGAAATGTTTCAAGTTTTGGGTTTTAGGAAGGGGCAAGTACTTTTACTTTGGGTTTCTAAGAAGATTGGTTTTAAAAAATTGCACTGGAATCCTGGTATGGAGAAAGGAGTGGTGTCTCTTTCATCTAGTAATCCAGTAACTGTGGCTCAGCTCCCAGGGCAGGGGCGCTACAGCCACATGGGCCTGGAGATTTATCCTTGCCCTGGAGTTCTTCAAGGTCTTTCCAGCAAGTTCTGGAGAACTTTAGGGATCAGGCCTACTCTCAGGAAGCCTAGGTGTTTAGAGACCCACCTTTCCTTCTTAGGCTCATTTCTAAGTTCTAACTTGTCAGTGCCCCCCTTAGGTCCAGATAAAGTTCTGAACTGACTGCTGATGCTCACGGGTCTTCATGTGACCGAGCCATGAAACACCCTACTGATGCTTCCTTACAGAACCCAGAGGTGGATGGCCTCTGAGGTCATTAAAGCCCAGGCTTTATGAGGGTGACTGTCTGACTGTTTGGGTGCAGACAGCTAACAGGACCTCTGTACAGGGCACCCCCACCCTCAGTCTCCCATCTAGAGCTGTTTCTCAGTCATCCTATTTTACTCCTGATATCAAGAGACTGATCCAGTAAATTGCCAGGTTTGTCCTTCTTCTTCTTGTGGTACAGACGGACAGCTCCGTGGCTGACCCCTGTGGCACTCAGAAACAGGACAAATCCAGGCCAGTGACTCACACTTGTAATCCCAGCACTTGGGGAGGCTTAGGCGGGCAGATCACTTAAGGTCAGGATTTTGACCAGCCTGGCCAACATGGTGAAACCCTGTCTCTATTAAAAATACAAAAATTAGCCGGGCCTGGTGGCGGGCTCCTGTAATCCCAGCTACTTGTGAGGCTGAGGCAGGAGAACTGCTTGAACCTGGGAGGTGGAGGCCGCAGTGATGCAGTGAGCAGAGATTGTGTCCCTGCACTCCGGCCTGTACAACAGAGCAACTCCATCTTAAAAAAAAAAAAAGGAAAAGAAACAGGACAAATCCAAATCCAACAAGAGTAGGGGAAGGATGGCTCCAGATTCCTTCTTTATACTGGAGTTTAGTTGTTTCAAACATGGTTTTACATTAAAGAGGCACTGTCTGGTTGTTGCAATGCCATTTGACTTGCTTCTCTGAGAGTAAGGCACAGGCAGCACCATGCGCGGTGGGGCCATCCGCTCACTTCCCGCAGGCCGCGAAGGGGCGGGTGCAGCCTTGAGACCCTCCATCGACTTCCCACCCACCAATGACTTCCTTTTTTTTTTTTTTGGCATGGAATTTCCCTCTTGTTGTCCAGGCTGGAGTGCAGGGGCACAATCCCAGCTCACTGCAACCTCCACCTCCCGGATTGAGGCGATTCTCCTGCCTCAGCCTCCCAAGAAGTTGGGATTACAGGCACGCCACCATGCCTAGCAGATTTTTGTATATTTAGTAGAGATGGGGTTTCACCGTATTGGCCAGGCTGGTCTCAAGCTCCTGACCTCAGGTGATCCAGCCGGGTTGGCCTCCCAAAGTGCTGGGATTACAGGCGTGAGGCACCACACCTGGCCATGATTTCCTTTTCTTTCCCCTTTATTCACTGAGGCCTTTGACCACTGGCTCGATCTTCCTCTCCAAGCCATTCCCGGCCTAGCAAGGAAGGCTTTGGAAGTCACGGATTCTTTGTCAAACACCCTGGCTTTCTGCTTGCTTCTCATGTCGAGTGACCCTTGTCGTCAAACCAGTACAGCCACTAGTGCCCTGGACTGTCAAACCTGAAATTGTTCTACCTCCAGAAACTACAAGTTCAAGAATCCTATTTTTCCAGTCACCTTCTCCATCCATCTGGCTCATTCCACTATGACTATGATAACCCTTCTCTGTGTTGACCAGAACACAGTGTTCACTTGGACCCCCTCCCATCTTCACTTCCTTTCCCTCTGGGCTAAGCCTCCAATAGCCATCATTCTGGATTCCAGTTATTCTCTGGCCAGCCTCATCCGCTTCCTTGTCAATCTGTCTTCTTTTCTTATCAGCCTGGCAAGAATTCCACCTGGACAAACCCAGTGATCTGTCTTCTCCATGCCTTCACCTGGGGAGATCTGTGACACTATGAACAATTCATGTCCAACCTCAGGGCACAGTAATTCTACCGGATTTCTCTGGTCAGTTTGCTCTGCCACCTTCTGCTCCAGCTTCCTGATTTTTCTACCCTTCTTAAACCTCCTTCCATCTTGTTCTCAACAGGTAACCTCATTGCCTACTTCTGAGAGACAGAAGCTGTCTGATGGGACTCCATCCATTTTTCTCCACGAGACCAGGACATATACTGCCATCCATACGCCCCTCCTCCATCTGTCTTTCCAGCAACACCGGCCCATCCCTGTGCTCTGAACCTTGTCTTAAAAACAATCCCCTTGACCCCTCCCCAGTCACCCCTGTTTCTTCCCTTGCACAGCCTCACTTCATGAAAGGCTGCTCCTTCTTCACCTCTCACTGGGTCTTTCAACCTGCTCTACTGGTTTTTGCTTTTACCACTCCACTGAGTGGCTGTCACTGAGTTACTGACAACTTTCAAGTTGGTAAAGCCAATGGACATCTTTTTCCAGACTCATCTGACTTGTGTGGCAGCAGATAGATCATTGCTCCACACAGATCTAACCAGCTGTTCCCTTGCTTAAGCATCATTTAATGACTTCCCATTGCTTTTTGGATTAAGATTCAAAACCTTAACATGTAGGGCCTGCCCTGGCCGACTCAGTGCCTCCCTGCCTCACCTGCTGTCTTCTGGGATGGGTGCATGGTCCTGCCCATGGGGGAAGAGTCCTGTCCACACAGGAAGCACCCTGCCTGCTCATGCCCATCCTCTTCCTCATCCTTCATGGGTCACTTCTTGAGTCTTCCTGGTATTGAGGCCCCATGTGAGGCTCCCCTGTGGTATGCTCTCATCGCACCCGCTACTTGTCCTGGTAACAGCCTGGTGATTTGGGCATCACTTGTTTCTTACCATTCTCTCTCCCAGACTGCAAGCTCCAGTGGGTGGGGCCCGTTGGCTCTGCTGCCCACTGCACCCTTGCCCATAAGCTCTGGTGGGCAGGGCTGTCTCCTCTGCTCACCACTGTAACCCCGCACACAGCATGCTGAGGAAATGAATGAACAAATCCAAACCCAAACTAGACTGGGCCCACTCTGGGATGGTTCCGGGAGCCACCTTTGGCCCTGCTCTATCTACAGAGACTGCCGTCCTGGGGACCTCTCCTCCTGCACAGATACTCAGAGTCAGGTTCATCCAGCTCTGTGCTCTCCTCTTCTCTCCTTTTCACTGTGAAGCCAACTGCAGGCCAGGGGTCCCGCCCAGCCACTGCCCATCTTCATAAATGTTTTAGAGAATGCAGCCCCACTCATCTGTTTATGTACCGTACCTACGGCGGCTTTCAGCTACAGTGACAGGGCTGAGTAGTTGTGCCTAGGACCTTATGGCTGCAAAATCTAAACTATTTAGCGTCTGGACCTCTAAAGTTTGCCGACCCCTGGTATGAAGCATCAAGCAGGACACCTACTGTGTACTATGGGGAAAATCAAGCAAGTGTGTCATGGTGACAAAGGGATGGTTCAGGGTTTCGATTGGAGTGATTCTCTTGTCCGCGTCAATGGTCAGCATCTTCTTCAACAGGTCAATGAACTCCCGCCGGTCAGCCTTCTCCACCAACATGTCGCTCCCTTCCAAATCCGTCGTCATGTTCACCTGGATGCAAGTAAGGACAGGTTACCAAGGACGAGCCCAGCGTGCCTCCCCCTCCTGGCTCCCCTGACTTTGTGCCCTGCAACTTCCTCCTGATCCGCTCAAACCCCCTTTCTCAGTTCCCAGGAACTCCGCCCCTATGGGAGGCACCAGACGCATGTTGTCACTGCCCACAGAATGTGGTTTTTCTCTCTGCAGGAAAGGTGGAGAGGGACTATGCCCCAGGAAGGGGAGAGGGCCGCTGCTGGGATCTGCAGATATATCTGAATGACAGAAAGCAAACTGCTCCTGCTTTAATCAGTTAGGTTGAAATGCAGCTTTCATCGCCCCTCATTAAAAATAATCCCGCGATGAAAAGGGTTCTGGAGACTGGTTGCATAACAATGGGAGTGTTAACACTACTGAACTGCATCCTTAAAAAAGGCTAAGACGATACATTTTATGCTATGTGTGTGTTTGCCACAATTTTTGAAAAAGAATTGCAGCCAAGCAGTAGAAATAAGATGCAAAAAAGTGTATGTATGTGTTTAACCTTTAGAGGGACGGTTAAGGGCCCGAGTGTGCCCATCCTGCACCGACAGTGTATCATCCTTCTCACGGCTTCCCCAGTTAGGGCCAGAATTATTTTAGTCCTTGTGTTCAACAGAGTCGCCTCTGGCCAAGACAGGCAGGATATCTGAACACAGAATTTTTCTTCCAGGAGTGAGTCTATACGAGGATAGCCTTTAAAAGGCTTGTTCTGTGGTGACTTCTGTATTTTCCAGGACATGGTCTGGAAACCAATTTCAGTTTTCTCGGACAATCTAAGCTACTCATCACCTGACAAGTACACTTTACTGAGAAACATGATTTTGGGTGATACTCATCTACAGTAAGAAGGGTGCTAAGTGTTTATTGGCGTATAGCTTTGTTTCTCATTGCTTTAAAGACAAAACTCACTCCGGGTTGTCCTGGTTTCAGACTAGTTTTCACACTAAAAATAACTGAAGTTCTAGAATTTTCTCTGGGTCACAAAGGCAAGAGCCTGTGGTCCCTGGTAGTGAGCTGAGACTGTGTAGCAGATTGACTTGTGTCCCCCTAAAAGATACAGTAAAGTCCCAGTCCCCAGTAAGTGTGGATGTGGCCTTGCTTGGAAATAGGGTGTTTGCAGATGTAATCAAATTGAGTTAAGATGAGGTCATACTCGATTAGGGTGTACCCAGGGACACGGCAAGGGAGATGCGGGCACAGAGGAGACACAGGATAAAAGCCATGTGAAGGAGGAAGCAGAGATTGGGGCATGCAGCTGCAAGTCGAAGAACACTGAGACCTGCCGGAAGCTGGGAGGCAGACATGGATGCTCTTTCCTCTTTCCCTATGGCCTTCAGAGTGAACGTGGGCCTGCTGAAGCCCAACTTCCCATTTCTGGCCTCCAGAACTGTGGGGGAGGGAAATTCTGCTCTCCTAAGCCATCCAGTTCACAGTACCTTCTAACGGCTGCCCCAGGAAAAACATCTACGTGGAATCGTGGGCCTTAAACTCACGGGTACTAATGGGAGGACATTCTTCTCACGATAACATCAGGATGATTGGCCAGTACTACATTACAAGTGGGAACCAATAAACTGGAACCTTTTTTTTTTTTTTTTCTTTTTTTGAGATGGAGTTTTGCTCTTGTTGCCCAGGCTGGAGTGCAGTAGCATGATCTCGGCTCACTGCCGCTTGGGTTCAAGTAATTCTCCTGCCTCAGTCTCCCAAATAGCTGGGATTACCATGCCCAGCTACTTTTTGTATTTTTAGTAAAGATGGGGTTTTGCCATGTTTGCCAGGCTGGTCTTGAACTCCTGACCTCAGGTGATCTACCTGCCTTGGCCTCCCATACTGCTGGGATTACAGGCATAAGCCACTGCGCCCAGCCAACTGGAACAATTTTTAAGGAACTGGTATAAAGTTTTAAAAATGTTTCACAAACCAAATGGTATTTTTACTAAGGCTGGCTGTAATTGTTTAAGGTCAAAGTTAACCACTGCAGTTGAATAATGTGGATTTCAACCCATTATCTTATATTACTATTGCAGAAGTCTTGGTGCCCTTGGTTTTAAAGGGCTTACACTGCATACTCACCCATGAAGCTTACCTGGGCCATATCATCTAAACAGTTGAAAATGTACTTTCTCGCTTCCTTGGACTTAATCCCTGTCTCTGCTTCATGGTCATCTGGTGTCTGTCAAGAGAGGCAAAAGCCAATTGGTAATGTGACTTATCTCCTTGTCACTGGGACTCAAGCCTTGGAGTTCCCGTGTCTCACAGATGGCTTCCCTCCTACCTTTCAGAAGCGATTTTGATTCTTCAAGGACCTATACACCTGCAATCCCTTTCTCTCTTCATCCACACCAGCCCATCCCTCCTTCCCATGCACATGTGTCAGGGGCCAGCTCTGAGTCAGGTACGGAGCGTTCTTGCTCCACAGCACAAGCTGATCAAGGTATGTCGCATCCTTGATCAGCCTATAGCCTTCCCTGAGTTTAAGGAATAAGGTAAGATTCTACTGTGGAAAAGCAGGGGCCTTTTCCAGCATTTTTCAATTTTATCTAATAAACCCTTATGCACACAGCTCTTGCTACGTGCCAGACATTATTCTAAAGCATGTTCATTCATTTAATAGCTTTGACAACCACATCAGGTAGCACAATTACTATCCCCATTTTCCAGATGGGGAAACAGGAATAGAAAGCTCAAGGCACTTGTAGTGGTCACATGGCCAATAGGTGGCAGCTGGCCCCAGAGTCTGTGTCTGGGCTGCCCCTCCATGGGTGGCTGAGGCACAGACATACATTCCCCAATGGCTGGGGAAACTGCTGTTTCCAATTACTGTGGGTTTTTGGACTCAGCCATGAGGTAATCCAGAGGTAATTAATCCTCAAAATCTCACTCAAGAACAGCACACCTGGAGAAGCTTAAGTCCTGGGAACAGCTGGACATGCGGGACTGAGGCTCTTCAGTAAAACAGCAGCGAACTCCAGTTTCACCCTCCTTCACCGGAGGACTCTCTTTACTGGACCTGACCTTGACACTCACCCTCACAGTTGCCAAATGCCAGGCCTCCCATCAATAGCCTAAGAGTGCTTGCTCACTCCCAAATCTCTTTTCTGAGTCTTTGGTGACTACTGGACACACATTATCTTTAAACCATATTAGAATTTTTCCTTTAAAAAAAAAAAAACTCAGAAAAACAAAAAAACACCCACCCACCCATGGCAAAAAAAAGAAATTATCTAAAATGAAACATACTTAAGACTTTATTAGTTTCTTTTTTTACCAGGAAAATATTTTAATTTCAATTGCTAGGCACAGATCAAAGTGAAAGCAAAACATATTTCTGTTAAAGCAAAGCTCCTGCCCCTGGTTTGAAGGTTTATGGTGACCGGTGTGACCCAGATGCCTCCCTGGGCCTTAGAACATTCCCATGTGCTCACTGGGCAGCCTCCTTTGCCTGGAACACCTCTCCCCAACCTGCACTGCCCTGGCCGCTACCCGACACTTCTCTACTGGGCAAACCCGCTTCATTGTTCCTTTTCTTTTTTTGAGACACAGTCTCACTCTGTCGCCCAGGTTGGAGGGCAGTGGCATGATCTCAGCTCACAGCACCCTCCGCCTCCCAGGTGCAAGGGATTCTCATGCCTCAGCCTTCCGAGTAGCTGGGATTACAGCCGCATGCCACCATGCCCGGCTAATTTTTGTACTTTTAGTAGAGACAGAGTTTCACCATGTTGGCCAGGCTGGTTTTGAATTCATGACCTCAAGTGATCTGCCTGCCTTAGCCTCCCAAAGTGCTGGGATTACAGGCGTGAGCCAGGGCGCCCCCTCTTCATTCTTTAGGGCCCAATTCAAAAGCTCCTCCTTGCCCCTCTGTTGCAGGCAGAATGAAATGCTCCTTCCCCTTGGCACCCATACCCGTTCTCGACCCGGAACAGGGCCCTGATTACAGTGGGCGAGAGCTTGTGGCACACGGTCCCGTCTCCCTCTGGACTGCGAGCTCTCAAGGGTAGAGTGGGGTTTGTGTCTCTCCCTAGCACAAATCAGACAGTCATCAAGGCTTATTGGATTCAATCCTGGGAGTTCAACAATCATAACGTGGGGACTCTCACAGGCGGCAGCAGGCCGAGGGAAAGAGGGGCTTTTGAGCATTCAGATTCAGCCACACTGTGTATTAACAATAGCTCCCCCCCCACACCCTCATTTGCTGATTGAATCAAAAGCTCCCCACTAATGGGACTATGGCCCTCTTTTCTGAGCACTAGGCCACTGTGAGGCGTGGAGGGGACGCTCTTCCTACCTTCAGTCTCCACAAAGGATATGGTGAGTCCGTGTCACGGTTGAAAAACCTAGTTGTCTTTGTCCCTGCACTTAATAAATATTCAGCAGGCAAACCCTGTGTTTGTGAAATATACCGAATCTGCAAGAAAAGATAAGAATGAGGTCAGGGCTTTTCCTGTCACCATACATATGGTATACTAATGGCTCTGCTGGCTTTGAGAAAAATGAAAATGACAATATTTTAGGGAAAGAAAGAAGTTAACAAAAAGAAGAAAAAGGGGAAAGAGAAAGGAATAAAGAAAAAATAGCAAGGTTAAGGGAGGCAAGGTTTGGGAGACAACGTGGCATTCCAGAATCCGGTCCATCTGTCATGTAATCAATGAAATGCAAATCCAGGCTGTTTTCCAGATGAAGAATGAAGTCTCGTGAATATCGGTGTCATCCGGACCCACCTGATCATACTCTGAAGCTCCTGGATATAGCGGCCAACCCAGGAACAGTTCTGCAATGACACAGCCCAGGGACCACATGTCAATTGCCTCACAAAATGGTAAACCAAGGATGATCTCAGGGGCCCTGAAAGGAAGAATAGAAAAAACTGTCAGCAGGTTGGAAATGCAGGCAGCTGTTTCTATATGAACACTATCTTTCAAACCTGGGGTACCATTACTGACCCCTCCTCGGAAGGGCCTGTGGCTCTTAGGAGAGGCACGGTGCTACAACAATCCTTCCATTCTTTGGCTTGGTCCCCTCCATGAGGGGTTTCACCTTGTTGATCAGGGTGGTTTTGAACTCCTGACCTCAGGTGATGCACCCACCTTGGCCTCTCAAAGTGCTGGCATTACAGGCGTGAGCCACCACACCTGGCCTGCCAATTATCCTTTCTTAAAAATTTACAACACACTTTCTTAAGGAAATATTGCTATTTTTTTTATTGGGTTCTAAAAAGCTAATCTCTTTAAAAGTTATCTAATGTTATAGTTACAGAACCACATGCATCAGTACAGAATCTGGCATCAACTAGGATTCCAGCATAAACTCCATCAATAACCTGTTCCTGAATGTAGTTCTGCCCCTTCAAGGAAATCACCTAAACCCCAACAGAACATTTCCCAAGGAGTTGGTAATCAACATGAAAGAGACCACCCAGGTACATCTTCCTTTCTAAGAATTTGTCATGATTAGGTAGGGGTATGTTTTGGACAAAACCAGGCTCAAAGTCTGAGTTATGGACACAGCTTATCTTTTTAAAAATAGTATGTCTCAAGGCCAGGTACAGTAGCTTATGCCTGTAATCCCAGCCCTTTGGGAGGCCGAGGCAGGTGGATTGTTGAACCCAGGAGTTCAAGATCAGCCTGGGCAACATGGCGAAACCCTATCTCTACCAAAAACAAACAACCCCCCCCCCCAAATTAGCAGGGGGTGTTGGTGCATGCCTGTAGTCCCAGGTACCTGGGAGGCTGAGGTGGGAGGATTGCTTGGACCCAGGAGGCAGAGGCTGCAGTGAGCTGAGATTGCACCTCTGTACTCTAGCCTGTGAGACAGAGATAGACTCTGTCTCAAAATAATAATAATAATAATAATAATAATAATAATAATAATGTGGCTCAAGGCATTCTGCTGATAATGAAATGCATTAGGCTGACTTTTGTCTTCTCTATAAATTTTCCACTTGACTAAGCAATGCTAGAAGAGGCGACTTTCCCACCCTTTCTGCAGGCTAGAGTGGGCGTGAAGGGAGCTGGGGAGACTTTTCTGTTGGTTACCTTTCACCCACCTAGCACGAGAGTGGGGAGGAAGGGGGTGATCAGAAAAACCCCCACTGGTCTTGGATCTCCTAGCTGAATTTTTCTCTGCTGAAAAACACCTCCTCTTCCCCCTTTGAATTTGTTCTCATTGCTCATCTTTTTTCTTTATATAATAGTATTGAAAAGAACAAAACAAACAAAACCCAAAAATGTCTTATTACAAAGTGTTGATTTTTCACATGTAAAATGGAGTTTGGCCAGGCATGGTGGCTCGTGCCTGTAATGCCAGCACTTGGGGAGGTTGAGGTGGGTGGACTGCTCGATCCCAGGAGTTTCAGACCAGCCTGGGCAACATAGTGAGACTGTGCGTCTTAAAAAAAAAAAAAAAAAGAAAGAAAGAAAGAAAGAAAAGAAAAGAAAAGAAAAAAAAAAAGCTGGCACAGTGGCTCACACCTGTAATCCCAGCACTTTGGGAGGCCAAGATGCGAGGGTCACTTGAGGTCAGGAGTTGCGGAGATAAGCCTAGCCAACATGGTGAAATGCCATCTCTACTAAAAATACAAAAATTAGCTGGGCGTGGTGGCACATGTCTATAATCCCAGCTACTCAGGAGGCTGAGGCATGAGAATTGCTTGAACCAGGAGGCAGAGGGTGCAGTGAGCTGGGATAGCACCACTGCATTCCAGCCAGGGTGACAGTGACTCCGTCACAAAAAGGGAAAATAAAAATCAGCCAGGCATGGAGGTGTGAACCTGTGGTCCCAGCTACTTGGGAGGCTGAAGTGGGAGAACTGCTTGAGCCCAGGAGTTTGAGGCTGCAGTGAGCCATGATTTGCACCATTGCACTCCAGCCTGGTGACAGAGCAAGACTCTGTCTCAAAAAGAGAGAGAAAAAAAGAGTTTATTGCTTTCCTCAGAACTGGAGACTGGGAACTGGCTACCGGGTGCTTCTAGAGTGCCAGCCACGGTTGCTGGTCTGGGCAGCAAGAAGGAGTGACCACAGCAGGGAGGAGCGAGTTGCCTTGGTGCTATTTAGTGAGCCTTCCGTTGTCCCCGTCCCTCGCTGCTGGGCATCTTCAGCTGCCAGTGTTCTGCTTGGCACTGTACCCCCTCTCTGGCCTTTGTCTCCTTTGGTCCCCACACTGGACTGTGTGTGGAGGGTCAGGGGCCACTCTTACCCACTGGCACTGATGAGCTGGGGATGCCTGTGCTGGCTCCATGACGTGTCTCTGCTGCACCCTCCTCTTTCATGTAACCACGAGCCTGCCACCTGCGTCAGGGCTGCCCACACACCAGGGCCTCCAGGTTCACTCCTCATTGTATGTAACTGATGAGATTACTGCCAGATTGCCACTAGCAGTGCCTTTAGAGATAGTTTCAGTTTACTTAAAAAAATCACATCCCTTAGAAAAGACGGGAATTTTTTTTTTTTTTTTTTTGAGATAGAGTCTCGCTCTGTTGCCCAGGCTGGAGCACAGTGGCATGATCTTGGCTCACTATAACCTCCGCCTCCCGGGTTCAAGTGATTCTCATGCCTCAGCCTCCCAAGTAGCTAGGATTACAGGTGCCCACCAGCATGCCTGGCTAATTTTTGTATTTTCAGTAGAGATGGGGTTTCACCATGTTGGCCAGGGTGGTCTTGAACTCCTGATCTCAAGTGATCTGCCCGCCTCAGCCTCCCACAGGGCTGGGATTACAGGTGGGAATCACCACACCCAGCCCAAAAGGAAGGGAATATCTGAAAAGAACATTACCAAAAAAAGTATTAGGGTGTCAGAACCTGCTTTTCTTTCTGCCCTCCCTGTTCTGGAGTCAGGGGTGGCCTCCTGCCTCCTCTCACGTGGATCCAGGCCTCTTGGTGGGAGGAGAGTTCTGGCCTGGACTTGCTGGCTTAAGGATCACATGCATCCTCACCTCTGCCCCCACATTCCTGTCACCTGGCTCCGTGGCTGGCCCCTGCCCTCTTGCAGCCTGATGTTTGGATGTTGGCCACTCAAGTCTTAGGAAGAGGCCAGTCTAGTCCCAGGGGACGTCTCTGAACCTGACTATGGGCCTGCCCTTCCTGTCAGGTTAGTTACCTGATTCTTATGGCCCAGAGGCTGTTCCTAACCCACGGAAACCTCGTTTTTCAGTTTCTGTTCCCCGGTGAGTAACAAGGCAGACTGCAACAACTAAAACGGCCACACAAAGGCACTTTAATGATGTTCTTTAGCAGGAAACACCAGACATAGATTTTGACGACTGACATGACACAGACAGGGCCTGTGACAACTGCTTGTAGTCCAACAAGAAAACGAAACCGCAGCCATTCGTGGCACCATGATACGTGCGGCAGAATGTTCCTGCTGTGACCAAGAACCAATGCCCAGGCATCTGGCTAGGTGGCTGGGGGACAGTACTGTCCTTGAAGTCCTCCGATGCTGGAAACGCCACGTCAAAGCACACAGGACAACTCAAGTCGAATACACAACGCGTGTCACAGAAACACACAGACATAAAAAACGAGCCGACACAGCACAACACATGCTCTAGCGGCTCCCACGTTAGAAAACAAAGCAGAACGCAAGAACAAAACAGACCAAAAAAAAAAAAAAAAAAAAAGCCCCAAACACAAACCCTTCCTAATCCCTTCATCCCCGCACAGCTGCCCCTCTCGTTCTCGGCTCCCCTTCAAGGCCCACTCTCCAGAGAGCCGTCTCCCCGCGGCTCCCACCTCTTCACCTCGAATCAATGTCTCAGCCTCCTCTAATTGGAGTCAGACACCCTGTGCCACTGACGTGCTGCACTTGTTGAGATCAGTGGTGATCTCCACGCTGTCACATCTGTTGATCAACTCCTTAGCTCTGTGACCTGGGAGCTGCATTTCTTTCACACGGTGACCATTCCTTCCTGTCCTGAAACACTTGTTCTTGGTTTCATGATGCCGCACGCTGCCGCTGTCTGTCCCGCCTCTCTGCCTGTGGCCTGCCCATTTCCTCTGGAAGGCCACTCTCTTCTACCCAACTGCTGTGTGCTGGCCAAGTCCCGGGCTCCTGCCTCTTCTCTCCTTCCACCCCTGCCCTAGCTAATTGTTATGGGTTGAATTGTGTCCCCAAGAAAGGTATGTTGAACTCTTAATTCCTGGCACCTCACCATGTGACTTTATTTAGGAATGGAGCTGTTGCAGATGTAATTAGCTAAGATGAGGTCATACTGGAGTAGGTGGCCCCAGTCCAATGTGACTCGCATCTGTGTAAGAGGGAAATCTGGACATAGTTACCGACACGGCAGTAAAATGGTCATGTGAAAAGGGAGGAGGAGATTGGAGTGATACTGCCACAAGCCAAGAACACCTGGAGCCACCAGTGGAGGGAAGAGACAAGGAAGGCTCCGCCCCTACCGCCTTCCGAGGGAGCATGGCCCTGCTGCACCTTGATTTTGGATGTCCAGTCTCTAGAATTACAAGAAAATAGAAGTGGGTTGTTTTAAACCAGATGTTTTGCGGTACCTGTTTCAGCAGCCCTAGGAATCTGACACAGTCATCTTACTCTCTCCACGGATTTAAATTCCATTTGTATTTCCAGGTTTGTCTCCATCTTGGAGTTCTCCTTCCGGCTCTAGATTTAGGTTCTGGAAGCCTAGTATTGCCTCTGGAATGTCTCACACTCATCTCCAATTCCACATGTCTAGAAGGGAACTCTTCTCTGATCCCCCCTCTCTAAACATATGCCTTCTGCTGTCCTCATTTTATGAAATGGAATCGACACCCTCCAGCGGCTTAGCCAGAGATCTGGGGAAGATCTTTGATTCCTTGCTCTCCCTTCATCCCCGTCATCTATCCACTAACATG